ATATGGGGTTCTGTAATATGCTGAATCTAACCGTGTATTAAGTTTTTGGATTTTGGGCCCCGTTTTTAAATTGGTCCACATTGAAGTCCAAAGGGTCCAAAATTAAACTTTATTTGATTTCATCAAAAATTGAATTATTGGGGTTCTTTGATATGCCGAATCTAACCGTGTATTTAGATTCTTAATTTTTGGTTCTGTTTTCAAATTGGTCTACATAAAAGTCCAAAGGGTCCAAAATTAAACTTAGTTTGATTTTAACAAAAATTGAATTTTTAGGGTTCTTTGATATGCTGAATCTAAACATGTATTTAGATTTTTGATTATGGGCCCAGTTTTCAAGTTGGTCCAAATCGGGGTCCAAAATTAAACTTTGTTTGATTTCAACAAAAATTGAATATATGGGGTTCTTTGATATGCTGTATCTAACCATGTATTTAGATTTTTGATTTTTGGGCCCTGTTATCATTTTTGTCCACATTGAGATCAAAAGGGTCCAAAATTAAACTTTGTTTGATTTCATCAAAAATTGAATTCTTGGGGTTCTTTGATATGCTGAATCTAACCATGTATTTAGATTTTGGATATTGGACCATAATAGGTGAATGTCCAATTTAAAATTTTTAAGTTCTTAGACCACATTCATTCTGTGTCAGAAACCTATGCTGTGTCAAATATTTAATCACAATCCAAATTCAGAGCTGTATCAAGCTTGAATGTTGTGTCCATACTTGCCCCAACTGTTCAGGGTTCGACCTCTGCGGTCGTATCAAGCTGCGCCCTGCGGAGCATTTTATTGGATTTTGTTTTTAAATTGGTCCACATTGAGGTCCAAAGGGTCCAAAATTAAACTTTGTTTGATTTCATCAAAAATTGAATTATTGGGGTTCTTTGATATGCCGAATCTAACCGTGTATTTAGATTCTTAATTTTTGGTTCCGTTTTCAAATTGGTCTACATTAAGGTCCAAAGGGTCCAAAATTAAACTTAGTTTGATTTTAACAAAAATTGAATTCTTAGGGTTCTTTGATATGCTGAATCTAAACATGTATTTAGATTTTTGATTATGAGCCCAGTTTTCAAGTTGGTCCAAATCGGGGGTCCAAAATTAAACTTTGTTAGATTTCAACAAAAATTGAATATATGAGGTTCTTTGATATGCTGAATCTAACCATGTATTTAGATTTTTGATTTTTGGGCCCCGTTGTCAACTTTGTCGACATTGAGGTCAAAAGGGTCCAAAATTAAACTTTGATTGATTTCATCAAAAATTGAATTATTGGGGTTCTTTGATATGCCGAATCTAACCGTGTATTTAGATTCTTAATTTTTGGTTCCGTTTTCAAATTGGTCTACATTAAGGTCCAAAGGGTCCAAAATTAAACTTAGTTTGATTTTAACAAAAATTGAATTCTTAGGGTTCTTTGATATGCTGAATCTAAACATGTATTTAGATTTTTGATTATGGGCCCAGTTTTCAAGTTGGTCCAAATCGGGGTCCAAAATTAAACTTTGTTTGATTTCAACAAAAATTGAATATATGGGGTTCTTTGATATGCTGAATCTAACCATGTATTTAGATTTTGGATATTGGACCATAATAGGTGAATGTCCAATTTAAAATTTTTAAGTTCTTAGACCACATTCATTCTGTGTCAGAAACCTATGCTGTGTCAAATATTTAATCACAATCCAAATGCAAAGCTGTATCAAGCTTGAATGTTGTGTCCATACTTGCCCAAACTGTTCAGGGTTCGACCTCTGCGGTCGTATCAAGCTGCGCCCTGCGGAGCATTTTATTGGTATTCAAATCCAATATGGCTGGATCACAACATCGACTATGCTTTGATTAATATTTATAATAATTGATTATAAATATTAGATTAAGAAATTTAACTTTTCAAGAAAATAGCTGAGTTTTTTTTTTGTATTATAAGGATACTGGTATGTCACAGTATAACAAGGTTGAGTGGTAAATACCCCAGTTTATTAAATGAACTACAATGTACATGTAATTGTTAAAATTATAAAAGGGGAGATAATCAAGAGCTAGCTGGTTCATTCTAGTAGGTTGCATTACACCAGTGCTTTTAATTCCTTTTTAACAGGATAAACATTTTTCATTGAGCAACTGTTCAACAAAAATAACATGACCTATTTACAAAATTAATTGCATGTTAGAGTAAAAAACTAATAAACATTGCAATCATTACAATATAAATTGTATATAAAAATAGAGTTGTTAACTAAAAAATGAGCTGTATGAATGAAAGATTGGAGACAGGGTTCTCAATAAGGCAGTCAATGAGTCATGAAGTCATGAAAACTATCTAGACTCATTTTCAAAACTGACGAGCCTAAAGATGCTCAAGGATTTTAAAATTTTGAAGATCAACTAAGCGAGCATACATGTATCACCATTTTATAGCAGAAAGCTCGACAGGGATAGTGATCCAGCGGCGATGGCGGCGCTAACTAACTACTAAATAGCTAAATATTTCAGAAGCTAGAATACTTGGATGTTTCATACTCTGTATATAGATGTTTTATGTTATGAAGTTTCCGTCTGTCATATGATATGACATGTCCATTTTCCTTGACCTCATTTTCATGGTTCAGTGACTACTTGAAAAAAAATTCAAAGTTTTTTTGTATTGTTAATTTCTCTCTTATTATGAGTAATAGGATAACTATATTTGGTATGTGCGTGCCTTGCAAGGTCATCATGCCTGTCAGATAGTTTTCACTTGACCTTGACCTCATTTCACAGATCAGTGAACAAGTTTTTGTTGTCAAGTCCATATCTCAGAAGTAAACATATAAGCAATAGGTCTACTATATTTGGTGTATGGAATGATTGTAAGTTGTACATGCCCAACTGCCAGGTGTCATCTGACTGACCTCATTTTCATGGTTCAGTGGATATAGTCAAGTTGTTTTGTTTTGGTCTGTTTTTCTAGTACTGTATGCAATAGGTCGACTATATATGATGTATGGAAATATTTTATTATGTACAAGTTAGTCTGGCAGGTTTTATTTGACCTTGACCTCATTTTCATGGCTCATTTCTCAATGTTAAGTTTTTTGTTTTGGTTGTTTTTCTTAAACTATAAGCAATGGGTCAACTATATTTGGTGTATGGAATGATTTTAAAGTGTATATACTATATAGATATAAGAAGATGTGATATGAGTACAAATGAGACAACTCTCCATCCCAGGCACAATGTGTAAAAAGTAAACCATTATAGGTCAAAGTACGGCCTTCAACATGGAGCCTTGGCTCACACTGAACAGCAAGCTATAAAGACCCAAAAATTACTAGTGTAAAACAATTCAAACAGGAAAACCTTTCTTGCAGGTTTCATCTCAACTTGACATCTTTTTCATGGTTCATTGGTCATTATGATGTTTTCCTGGTTTAGTTTTTTCCTTAAATACTATATGCAATAGGTCAACTACATTTGATGATTGCAATCTATTATATTTTATAAATAAAATGCATGACTGTACCTTCAAACTGGATATCTATATCCATAAATAATGAATAACAGAAGTAATCTTGCAAATTTTATCCATAAGCACATGTTAAATCTATTTATATCTACTACCTGTCATTTAGGCGGGAAAATAGGGAGACTTAGTTGTTGACATTGAATATGGTTACTTATAGATCAATAGACCAAAGATAAATTTATAGATTTAGGAATTCTTTTTAAATGGTTCATGACAAATAAAGATTTAGATTGTAGGGCAGTATTAAGTCTGTATCTATGTTTGATTATCACCAAAGACAAGAAAGGTTAATAATTACATGAAATCTACGGCAAAATGTTCTAAATTTTATGAAAATTTTCTTTTTATTAAAATCTAAGATAGAAACTGGTTCAAATAATAAAACAATATTTGCAATTGTTCTTGTTAATTTTATATCTTCTTATGACAGGAACCCTTTCACATAAAACAACTTTTTTTCTAGAAACTAGAAAGTTTTTTAAATTGAACATTTTTGTTTTCTTTTGAATGATATTTTATTTTTATTGATTTTGGATTTTATAAAAGATTTAATTACTTTAAATTCAGATGAATATTTTATTATGAATCGTAATTTATTTATTTTAATAAAATATTAAAGTATATAAACTGGTTTTTTATTTACTTCTTTTTTACCAATAATTTTCTGAATCAATGTCTACATAACACAGTACCACAGTGTTAAAACAATACAAGAGACTACAGTAACTAGAGCTAAGAGACGCGACGCGACACAACTGATTGCATGAAATATTTCACCAAGAAGTCAACACGCGTTACCCTGGTGCTATCCAAAAATCCTGGGGAGAACACTGTGATCCATGGAATGATTGTAAGGTGTATATGTCTGTCTGACAGGGTTCATCTGTCCTTTACCTAATTTTCATGGTTCATTTGTCAATATAAAATTTTAATGATTTGGTCTGTCTTGTATACTACTAGCAAAAGATCAACTATATTTGGTGTATGGAATGATTGTAAGATGTACATGTATTTCTGGCTTGGTTTATCAAACCTTGACCTCATTTTCTTTGATCATATTAAGTTCATGTGATACTTGTAGTAAAACTTTATATTAAGGAATATCAACATAAATGGTCAGTAAAGAAGGCGAGACATTTCAGCGTGTGTACTCATTGTTTGCAGTTTTGGCTGTTATCTAAAAACCTATAGGACCTAGGTTAGATATGTAAATTGCAAAAATTATCAGCAACACAAAGAGTAACTAGTATGTGCATATACAAATCGTAGTGAGCAAACTAGCGATATTTTCACCAGGTGAGCGACACAAATTTCAAATAGTGCAGAAAAGTTAAGATAGTCTTTTAGATGCTAGTATTACATGTTTTTGGATTAGATTAATATCTGAAAATATTAGGTCAGTAATTTTCAAGTCCATAATGATCATGTATTTTCAATTGGCATTAACAATTATAACTCAATGATAACTAAACAGTATATATTTAAAATATTTTTTTTTCTATTTTTAGGATATAATGGAATATTGGAATAAGGTAAGATTTACTTTTAAGTCCAATTGTCATGTGACCTTTTATTTCCATTTTCTTACCAAAAATACTTGTATGTGATGATTTGAGATACAAACTAGTAGAATTCTACGTGACCTACAAAAAAAGATATTACAAGATCAAAGATAAAACAAACACAACAAAGATTGGGACAAAGAAAATGTACTACAAACATTTGACTAAGGTGTTGCTAACAACAACTCATAGCAAAGATAGGCATAAACTGCATGAAATTTCTTGCCTTTTTGTCGAGCCTTCGACTTTTGTCGAAAAAGCGAGACATAGCGATCCTACATTCCGTCGGCGTCGTCGTCGGCGTCGTCGTCGTCGTCGGCGGCGTCCACAAATATTCACTCTGTGGTTAAAGTTTTTGAAATTTTAATAACTTTCTTAAACTATCCTGGATTTCTACCAAACTTGGACAGAAGCTTGTTTATGATCATAAGATAATATTCAAAAGTAAATTTTGTAAAAAAAAATTCCATTTTTTCCGTATTTTACTTATAAATGGACTTAGTTTTTCTGCCAGGAAACATTACATTCACTCTGTGGTTAAAGTTTTTGAAATTTTAATAACTTTCTTAAACTATCCTGGATTTCTACCAAACTTGGAAAGAAGCTTGTTTATGATCATAAGATAGTATCCAGAAGTAAATTTTGTAAAAAAAAAAATCCATTTTTTCCGTATTTTACTTATAAATGGACTTAGTTTTTCTGCCAGTTAACATTACATTCACTCTGTGGTTAAAGTTTTTAAAATTTTAACAACTTTCTTAAACTATCCTGGATTTGTACCAAACTTGGACAGAAGCTTGTTTATGATTAAAAGCTAGTATCTAGAAGAAAATTTTGTAAAAAAAAAATTCCATTTTTTCCGTATTTTACTTATAAATGGACTTAGTTTTTCTGCCAGTTAACATTACATTCACTCTGTGGTTAAAGTTTTTAAAATTTTAAAAACTTTCTTAAACTATCCTGGATTTGTACCAAACTTAGACAGAAGCTTGTTTATGATTAAAAGCTAGTATCTAGAAGGAAATTTTGTTCCATTTTTTCCGTATTTTACTTATAAATGGACTTAGTTTTTCTTCCAGTTGACATTACATACAGTCTGCAGTTTAAGTTTTTAAAACATTTATTAGATTCATAAACTATCCTGGATTTTTACCAAACTTGGACAGAAGCTACTTACAATCAAAAGATAGTATAGAGAGGAATATTTTTATTAATTTTTTTCCTCATTTTTGCTGAGCCTATGATTAACAGCAAAAAGTAGGCGAGACACTGGGTTCCGCGGAACCCTTACGAATTTTTTATTTTTATGCCCCCGCCATAGCGGAGGGGGCATTAAGTTTTACCCTTGTCCGTCTGTATGTCCGTACGCCCGTCCGTACGTCCCAAAATTGGTTACCGTTCTCTAACTTTAGTTTGCCTCAACCAAATGATATGAAACTTATCCACAATGCTTATTACCCCAAAACACAGATCGAGTATGAATTTTGGTGGGGTCACTTTTACCATTCTAGAGTTATGCTCCTTTACAAATGAAAAAATTGCTGATTTTTTTGTTTCCGTTCTCTAACGAGTTTACCTCAACCAAATCATGCAAATGTTATAAAACTTATCCACAATATTTATTACCACAAAACACAGATCAAGTTTGAATTTTGGTGGTGTCACTTTTACCGTTCTAAAAGTTATGCCCCTTTCCAATGGAAAAATTGCTGAAATATTAGTTTATGTTCTCTAACTTTAGTTTGCCTCAACCAAATGTTATGCACAATGCTAATTACCACAATACACAGATTAAGTTTGAATTTTGTTGGCATCACTTTTACTGTTCTAGAGTTATGCCCCTTAACAAATCTCAAAATTGCTGAAATATTTGTTTCTATTCTCCAACTTTAGTTTGCCTCAACCAAATGTTATGAAACTTATGCACAATGCTAATTACCACAAAACACAGATAAAGGTTGAATTTTGGTGGCATCACTTCTACTGTTCTAGTGGACGTTAAGCAACCAACCATCAATCAATCTACTGTTCTAGAGTTATGCCCTTTTAAAAATGGAAGAATTGCTGAATTTTTCGTTTCTGTTCTCTAATTTAAGTTTACCTCAACTAAATGTTATGAAACTTATAAAAAATTCTTATTACCACAAAACTCAGATCAAGTTCAAATTTGGGTAGTGTCACTTTTACAGTTCTTGAGTTATGGCCCTTTATAACGTTATATGCAAGCGGGGGCATCATCTGTTTCCCATGGACACATTCCCCATTTATTTTTTATAAATCATTAGTAACTTGCCAGAAATCCTCTGAGGTCATGGTGTCAGTAACTTGGAGCTGATTATCATGCATAATTTAGTGGCAGTTTAGTGTTTTAGGTTTTTTTTATTTTTCAGAAATGTATCGAATGTTTTTTAAATATAAGTGTATACACTCTCTTAAGGTTTATTCTATATCTAGTACCTTCAGAATGCTTGTTTACAATGTCAAATACATAACCCTATTGAGTTGTTAGAGAAAATATTGGACAATTTTTAATAAATAAAAAATACAGAAGTTCTCTCCTCTTGCATTTGTTAAGTTCGTAAGTTGAAAAAAAACATATATTTTATGGTATAAAGTGTAAATTGACACAACGCACCATTGTTATCCAAAAGTTTTTTTTATGCCCCATCAACTGAAAGCTGGGGGCATATTGTTTTACCCCTGTCTGTCCTTCCGTCCCATTATGGGTATATAGTATAGTTATTCCAGATAACTTCTCCTACAGTTTGAATGCTAGGAAGATTTTACTTTGCTGGCTGTTTGAACATATATTGAAGGTGTGCATGTCGTCAGGGTTTAGATTTTGATTAATATTTGCTCTTTTGGGAGATAGTTGAACTTTATCATTTTTGGAGTATATATTTGCATATTTAAGAGGCGCATAGCGTTTCCAGATAACTCCTCCTACAGTGAACCATAGACCTATGTGCTCCCATGCTCAACTTTGTGTATGTTAAAATAACACTTTGCATCTGTGAGGGCATCATATTGTGAATCACAGCTGATTCTTAACAATGTCAATATGCAGGCAAACTGATAATTGGTACATATCCTCTCTGCCTGAATGTTATTTGAAGTGAGGATACCCCCGATTTATATAGTTATTTGTCATGCAGGAGAATAAATAATTATTGCTTTATTTAACAGTTGTTTCATTTATTTTTCATTACAATCTATTAAATGTAAAATCTATGTTTTACTTACAGAAACTTCTTGCAGATGCTCAGACTGGAAATGTAAACGATATGAAAATATGCCTAGAGAATAAAGCAGACATTGAATATCAATCGGTAGGTAAAACAGTCTCATTAGGTACAGTAGTAACATCCAAATTAGAACTAGAGCAAATTAATTATGTACAGTAAAAAAAAAACACACAACTACAGATAACTTCAGAACATAGTAGATCTTACTTGAGCAATATAAATCACATAACTACATGTTACTTCAAAATACAGCAAATTGTAATAAAATGAAATACAATTGCATGTTACTTCAAAACCTGACAGTTGAACATAAACAGTATAAAACACTTACTTTAAATAACTTTAACCTTGCTGGTTAACAATACAGCAGATTAATACAGTACAAATCACAACTGCAAGTCACTTCAAAACATGACAGTAAGAACATAAACAGAATAAAACACACAACTGTTAGTCACTTCATAACATAACAGTCAGAACATAAACAGAATAAAATACACAACTGTTAGTCACTTCAAAACATGACAGTAAGAACATAAACAGAACAAAATACACAACTGTTAGTCACTTCAAAACATGACAGTAAGAACATAAACAGAATAAAATACACAACTGTTAGTCACTTCAAAACATGACAGTAAGAACATAAACAGAATAAAATACACAACTGTTAGTCACTTCATAAAATAACAGTCAGAACATAAACAGAATAAAATACACAACTGTTAGTCACTTCAAAACATGACAGTAAGAACATAAACAGAACAAAATACACAACTGTTAGTCACTTCAAAACATGACAGTAAGAACATAAACAGAATAAAATACACAACTGTTAGTCACTTCAAAACATGACAGTAAGAACATAAACAGAATAAAATACACAACTGTTAGTCACTTCAAAACATGACAGTAAGAACATAAACAGAATAAAATACACAACTGTTAGTCACTTCAAAACATGACAGTAAGAACATTAGCAGAATAAAACACATAACTATAAGTCACTACAAAACATGACAGTAGGAACATAAACAGAATAAAACACATAACTATAAGTCACTTAAACATGACAGTAAGAACAGAAACAGAATAAAACACATAACTATAAGTCACTTAAACATGACAGTAAGAACAGAAACAGAATAAAACACATAACTATAAGTCACTTTAACATGACAATAAGAACAGAAACAGAATAAAACACATAAATATAAGTCACTTTAACATGACAGTAAGAACAGAAACAGAATAAAACACATAACTACAAGTCACTTAAACATGACAGTAAGAACATTAGCAGAATAAAACACATAACTATAAGTCACTACAAAACATGACAGTAGGAACATAAACAGAATAAAACACATAAATATAAGTCACTTAAACATGACAGTAAGAACAGAAACAGAATAAAACACATAACTATAAGTCACTTTAACATGACAGTAAGAACAGAAACAGAATAAAACACATAACTATAAGTCACTAAAACATGACAGTAAGAACATAAACAGAATAAAACACATAACTATAAGTCACTTAAACATGACAGTAAGAACATAAACAGAATAAAACACATAACTATAAGTCACTTAAACATGACAGTAGGAACAGAAACAGAATAAAACACATAACTATAAGTCACTTTAACATGACAATAAGAACATAAACAGAATAAAACACATAACTATAAGTCACTAAAACATGACAGTAAGAACATAAACAGAATAAAACACACAACTGTTAGTCACTTAAACATGACAGTAAGAACATAAACAGAATAAAACACATAACTATAAGTCACTTAAACATGACAGTAGGAACATAAACAGAATAAAACACATAACTATAAGTCACTTTAACATGACAGTAAGAACAGAAACAGAATAAAACACATAACTATAAGTCACTACAAAACATGACAGTAAGAACATAAACAGAATAAAATACACAACTGTTAGTCACTTCAAAACATGACAGTAAGAACATTAGCAGAATAAAACACATAACTATAAGTCACTACAAAACATGACAGTAGGAACATGAACAGAATAAAACACATAAACATAAGTCACTTAAACATGACAGTAAGAACAGAAACAGAATAAAACACATAACTATAAGTCACTTTAACATGACAGTAAGAACAGAAACAGAATAAAACACATAACTATAAGTCACTTCAAAACATGACAGTAAGAACAGAAACAGAATAAAACACATAACTATAAGTCACTTAAACATGACAATAAGAACATAAACAGAATAAAACACATAACTATAAGTCACTTTAACATGACAATAAGAACATAAACAGAATAAAACACATAACTATAAGTCACTTAAACATGACAGTAGGAACAGAAACAGAATAAAACACATAAATATAAGTCACTTTAACATGACAGTAAGAACAGAAACAGAATAAAACACATAAATATAAGTCACTTTAACATGACAGTAAGAACATAAACAGAATAAAACACATAAATATAAGTCACTTAAACATGACAGTAAGAACAGAAACAGAATAAAACACATAACTATAAGTCACTTAAACATGACAGTAAGAACAGAAACAGAATAAAACACATAACTATAAGTCACTTTAACATGACAGTAGGAACAGAAACAGAATAAAACACATAACTATAAGTCACTTTAACATGACAGTAGGAACATAGACAGAATAAAACACATAAATATAAGTCACTTAAACATGACAATAAGAACATAAACAGAATAAAACACATAACTATAAGTCACTTAAACATGACAGTAGGAACAGAAACAGAATAAAACACATAAATATAAGTCACTTTAACATGACAGTAAGAACAGAAACAGAATAAAACACATAACTATAAGTCACTTAAACATGACAGTAGGAACAGAAACAGAATAAAACACATAAATATAAGTCACTTTAACATGACAGTAAGAACATAAACAGAATAAAACACATAACTATAAGTCACTTAAACATGACAGTAAGAACAGAAACAGAATAAAACACATAACTATAAGTCACTTAAACATGACAGTAAGAACATAAACAGAATAAAACACACAACTGTTAGTCACTTTAACATGACAGTAGGAACATAAACAGAATAAAACACATAACTTTAAGTCACTACAAAACATGACAGTAAGAACATAAACAGAATAAAACACATAACTTTAAGTCACTACAAAACATGACAGTAGGAACATAAACAGAATAAAACACATAAATATAAGTCACTTAAACATGACAGTAAGAACAGAAACAGAATAAAACACATAACTATAAGTCACTTTAACATGACAGTTAGAACAGAATCAGAATAAAACACATAACTATAAGTCACTTTAACATGACAGTAAGAACAGAAACAGAATAAAACACATAACTATAAGTCACTTCAAAACATGACAGTAAGAAAATGCATAAAAGAATAAAAAACACAACTATAAGACATTTCAAAATAACCAATTATTACAGTACAAAAATACAAGTCAAGTCACTTAAAAACATAGCAGGTTGTAGATATAAAGTATAAAACACACAACTACAAGGTTGTACATAAAAAGTATAAAACACACAACTACAAGGTTGTACATAAAAAGTATAAAACACACAACTACAAAGTTGTACATATCACTCAATGTAAATCCGACCTGTGATCAAAATACAACAGTGAATGTGAAAGCTACCTGCAATCAAAGTACAACACTTAATGAAAAACCTACCTGTAATCAGAGCTCATTGGGGAATTTGAAACATACCTGTAATCAAAGCACATCACTAAAAGTGAATATGTGAGACATACCTGTAAACAAAGCGAAACATGCCTGCAATCAAACACATCACTAAATGTGAAACATACCTATTATCAAACAAAACACTGAATGTGAAACATACCTATTATCAAACATAACACTGAATGTGAAACATACCTATTATCAAACATAACACTGAATGTGAAACATACCTATTATCAAAGCACAACACTGAATGTGAAACATACCTATTATCAAACACAACACTGAATGTGAAACATGAATGTTATCAAACATAACACTGAATGTGAAACATACCTGTTATCAAACACAACACTGAATGTAAAACATACCTGTTATCAAACATAACACTGAATGTGAAACACTGTAATCAAACACAACACTGAATGTGAAACATATCTATTATCAAACACAACACTGAATGTGAAACATACCTATTATCAAACACAACACTGAATGTGAAACATACCTATAATCAAAGCACAACATTGAATGTGAAACATACCTATTATCAAACACAACACTGAATGTGAAACACTGTAATCAAACACAACACTGAATGTGAAACACTGTAATCAAACACAACACTGAATGTGAAACATACCTATTATCAAACACAACACTGAATGTGAAACATACATGTTATCAAACACAACAATGAATGTGAAACATACCTATTATCAAAGCACAACACTGAATGTGAAACATACCTATTATCAAACACAACACTGAATGTGAAACATGAATGTTATCAAACATAACACTGAATGTGAAACATACCTGTTATCAAACACAACACTGAATGTAAAACATACCTGTTATCAAACATAACACTGAATGTGAAACACTGTAATCAAACACAACACTGAATGTGAAACATATCTATTATCAAACACAACACTGAATGTGAAACATACCTATTATCAAACACAACACTGAATGTGAAACATACCTATAATCAAAGCACAACATTGAATGTGAAACATACCTATTATCAAACACAACACTGAATGTGAAACACTGTAATCAAACACAACACTGAATGTGAAACACTGTAATCAAACACAACACTGAATGTGAAACATACCTATTATCAAACACAACACTGAATGTGAAACATACATGTTATCAAACACAACAATGAATGTGAAACATACCTATTATCAAACACAACACTGAATGTGAAACATACCTATTATCAAAACACAACACTGAATGTGAAACATACCTATTATCAAATACAACACTGAATATGAAACATGCATGTTATCAAACACAACACTGAATGTGAGACACTGTAATCAAACACAACACTGAATGTGAAACATGCCTATTATCAAACACAACACTGAATGTGAAACATACCTATTATCAAACACAACACTGAATGTGAAACATACCTATTATCAAAACACAACACTGAATGTGAAACATACCTATTATCAAATACAACACTGAATATGAAACATGCATGTTATCAAACACAACACTGAATGTGAGACACTGTAATCAAACACAACACTGAATGTGAAACATGCCTATTATCAAACACAACACTGAATGTGAAACATACCTATTATCAAACATAAAACTGAATGTGAAACATGCCTATTATCAAACACAATACTGAATGTGAAACATACCTATTATCAAACACAACACTGAATGTGAAACATACCTATTCTCAAAGCACAACACTGAATGTGAAACATGCATGTTATCAAACACAACACTGAATGTGAAACATACCTATTATCAAACACAACACTGAATGTGAAACATACCTATTATCAAACACAACACTGAATGTGAAACATACCTATTATCAAACACAACACTGAATGTGAAACATACCTATTATCAAACATAACACTGAATGTGAAACATACCTATTATCAAAGCACATCACTGAATATGAAACATACCTATTATCAAACACAACACTGAATGTGAAACATACCTATTATCAAACACAACACTGAATGTGAAACATGAATGTTATCAAACACAACACTGAATGTGAGACACTGTAATCAAATACAACACTGAATGTGAAACATACCTGTTATCAAAGACAACACTGAATGTGAAACATACCTGTTATCAAACACAACACTGAATGTGAAACATACTTATTATCAAACACAACACTGAATGTGAAACATACCTATTATCAAACACAACACTGAATGTGAAACATACCTATTATCAAACATAACACTGAATGTGAAACATACCTATTATCAAACACAACACTGAATGTGAAACATACCTATTATCAAACACAACACTGAATGTGAAGCATACCTATTATCAAACACAACACTGAAGGTGAAACATACCTGTTATCAAACACAACACTGAATGTGAAACATACCTATTATCAAACACAACACTGAATGTGAAACATACCTGTTATCAAACACATCACTGAATGTGAAACATGCATGTTATCAAACACAACACTGAATGTGAAACATACCTATTATCAAACACAACACTGAATGTGAAACATACCTATTATCAAACACAACACTGAATGTGAAACATACCTGTTATCAAACACAACACTGAATGTGAAACATACCTATTATCAAACATAACACTGAATGTGAAACATACCTGTTATCAAACACATCACTGAATATGAAACATACCTATTATCAAAGCACATCACTGAATGTGAAACATACCTATTATCAAACACAACACTGAATGTGAAACATACCTATTATCAAACATAACACTGAATGTGAAACATACCTATTATCAAAGCACAACACTGAATGTGAAACATACCTATTATCAAACACATCACTGAATGTGAAACATACCTATTATCAAACATAACACTGAATGTGAAACATACCTATTATCAAAGCACAACACTGAATGTGAAACATACCTATTATCAAACACATCACTGAATGTGAAACATACCTATTATCAAACACAACACTGAATGTGAAACATACCTATTATCAAAGCACATCACTGAATGTGAAACATGCATGTTGTCAAACACAACACTGAATGTGAAACATACCTATTATCAAACACAACACTGAATGTGAAACATACCTATTATCAAACACATCACTGAATGTGAAACATACCTATTATCAAACACAACACTGAATGTGAAACATACCTATTATCAAAGCACATCACTGAATGTGAAACATGCATGTTGTCAAACACAACACTGAATGTGAAACATACCTATTATCAAACACAACACTGAATGTGAAACATACCTATTATCAAACACATCACTGAATGTGACACATACCTTTTATCAAACACAACACTGAATGTGAAACATACTTATTATCAAACACAACACTGAATGTGAAACATACCTATTATCAAACATAACACTGAATGTGAGACATACCTATTATCAAACATAACACTGAATGTGAAACATACCTATTATCAAACATAACACTGAATGTGAAACATACCTGTTATCAAAGTACATCACTGAATTGGAAACATTGTAATCAAAGTACAACACTGAATGTGAAACATACCTGTTATCATGATTATACTGAATCTACACTAAATCATGTTGTTAATCAGACAGTTTTAATGAACAAATATTTGTAATAAATATATCAAGTGGGGTCTCATTTTACTCATATTATTGTTCTGAATCAGAAAATATTACTCCTTTTCATGTTTCTTTAAAAAAATTATTTTTTGTAAATGAATTATTCAACTGAATCTACACTAAATCCTGTTGTTAATTAGACAGTTTTAATGAACAAATATGTGTAAGAATCATATAAAGTGGGGTCTCATTTTGCTTGTTTTGTTCTACTGAATCCATTGATATAATTATTTTACACATTTCTTGAAAAAAAAAAAATTTTTTAAGATATCAGGTTTAATGGAAGTTTTGACATTTCACAACAAAACGTGTTTATTTATTGTTTATATAGAATATAAATCTAAGTGTGACTGGTCATTTTATTCAGTTTTGACCACTGATTCATGTGATATATATTTTGTTTATATTTATTACACAACATTGTCCAGTTTATCAGACAAGTTTTGATGTCAGTTGTATTATTCCAGGAGTTAGGATGGACAGCATTAATGTTGGCTGCCATGGGAGGACACCTGGAGGTCTGTAGACTTCTCATTGATACAGGATGTAAGATCGACACCACAACAGTATGTTATCTACTTAGTCTGATCACATTACTATTAATCTACACTAAATCATGTTGTTAATCAGACAGTTTTAATGAACAAATATTTGTAATAATTATATCAAGTGGGGTCTCATTTTACTCATATTATTGTTCTGAATCAGAAAATATAACTTTTTTCATGTTTCTTTAAAAAAATTATTTTATTAAAATGAAGGATTATACTGAATCTACACTAAATCCTGATGTTAATTAGACAGTTTTAATGAACAAATATGTGTAAGAATCATATAAAGTGGGGTCTCATTTTACTTGTTTTGTTCTACTGAATCCATTGATATAATTATTTTACACATTTCTTGAAAAAAAATTTTTTTTTTAAGATATTAGGTTTAATGGAAGTTTTGACATTTCACAACAAAACATGTTTATTTATTGTTTATGTACAATATAAATACAAGTGTGACTGGTCATTTTATTCAGTTTTGACCACTGATTCATGTGATATATATTTTGTTTATATTTATTACACAACATTGTCCAGTTTATCAGACAAGTTTTGATGTCAGTTGTATTATTCCAGGGTAGTGGAGTGACAGCATTAATGTGGGCTGCCGAGGAAGGACACCTGGAGGTCTGTAGACTTCTCATTGATACAGGATGTAAGATCGATGCCACACATGTATGTTATCTACTTAGTCTGATCACATTACTATTAATCAACACAAAATCATGTTGTTAATTAGACAGGTTTAATGAACAAATATTTGTAATAATTATATCAAGTGGGGTCTCATTTTACTCATATTATTGTTCTGAATCAGAAAATATATCTCCTTTTCATGTTTCTTTAAAAAAAATATTTTATTAAAATGAATAATTATACTGTATCTACACTGAATCCTGATGTTAATAAGACAGTTTTAATGAATAAATATGTGTAAGAATCATATAAAGTGGGGTCTCATTTTGCTTGTTTTGTTCTACTGAATCCATTGATATAATTATTTTACACATTTCTTGAAAAAATTTTTTTTTTAAGATATCAGGTTTAATGGAAGTTTTGACATTTCACAACAAAACATGTTTATTTATTGTTTATATAGAATATAAATACAAGTGTGACTGGTCATTTTATTCAGTTTTGACCACTGATTCATGTGATATATATTTTGTTTATATTTATTACACAACATTGTCCAGTTTATCAGACAAGTTTTGATGTCAGTTGTATTATTCCAGGGTGGTGGATGGACAGCATTAATGTTGGCTGCCTGGAGAGGACACCTGGAGGTCTGTAGACTTCTCATTGATACAGGATGTAAGATCGACACCACAACATCAGTATGTTATCTACTTAGTCTGATCACATTACTATTAATCAACACAAAATCATGTTGTTAATCAGACAGTTTTAATGAACAAATATTTGTAATAATTATATCAAGTGGGGTCTCATTTTACTCGTACTATTGTTCTGAATCAGAAAATATTACTCCTTTTCATGTTTCTTTAAAAAAATTATTTTATTAAAATGAATGATTACACTGAATCTACACTAAATCCTGTTGTTAATTAGACAGTTTTAATGAATAAATATGTGTAAGAATCATATAAAGTGGGGTCTCATTTTGCTTGTTTTGTTCTACTGAATCCATTGATATAATTATTTTACACATTTCTTGAAAAAAATTTTTTTTTTAAGATATCAGGTTTAATGGAAGTTTTGACATTTCACAACAAAACATGTTTATTTATTGTTTATATAGAATATAAATACAAGTGTGACTGGTCATTTTATTCAGTTTTGACCACTGATTCATGTGATATATATTTTGTTTATATTTATTACACAACATTGTCCAGTTTATCAGACCAGTTTTAATGTCAGTTGTAGGATATGTTGTATATTATTGATATTGATAACAAAGTATTGTCCATAATATTTACATGTTATTTGGTTATATTATAGGATGAAGGATACACAGCTTTACATATTGCTGCTGTGAGTGGACGTCTACAGATCACAAGATGTCTAGTAGAACAAGGAGGTGCCAGTCCCTTGGTTACAACACGTCGGGTAATATTTTATAGTATATACCCAGTGTTCAACTATTAAGTAATGAATCACTAAAATGATGTATGAGATATGGTTGGTCAAATTGATTCTTTTTCAAGGCAATAGTCAAAAGTCATCTTATCCTTTAAATTTAACTTAAGATATGAAAAAGTTTTATGGAGGGTGTGGATACAGACATAGGAGGGTGTGGATAGGGTATACAGATATAGGAGGGTGTATATGGGGTATACACATACAGGAGGGTGAGGATGGGGTATACACATATAGGATGGTGTGGATGGGGTATACACATATAGGAGGGTGTGGATGGGGTATAGAGGTTTAGGAGGGTGTGAAGGGGTAATACAGATATAGGAGGGGTAGATGGGGTATACACATATAGAAGGGTGTGGATGGGGTATAGACATATAGGAGGGTGTGGATGGGGTATACACATATAGGAGAGTGTGAATGGAATATACAGGAATAGGAAGGTGTGGATGGGGTATACACATATAGGAGGGTGTGGATGGGGTATAGAGGTTGAGAAGGGTGTGGAGGGGTAATACAGATATAGGAGGGGATGGATAGGGTATACACCTATAGGAAGGTGTGGATCGGGTATACACATATAGGAGGGTGTGGACGGGGTATAGAGGTTGAGTAGGGTGTGGAGGGGTAATACAGATATAGGAGGGGATGGATAGGGTATACACCTATAGGAAGGTGTGGATCGGGTATACACATATAGGAGGGTGTGGACGGGGTATAGAGGTTGAGTAGGGTGTGGAGGGGTAATACAGATATAGGAGGGGATGGATAGGGTATACACCTATAGGAAGATGTGGATCGGGTATACACATATAGGAGGGTGTGGATGGGGTATAGAGGTTGAGAAGGGTGTGGAGGGGTAATACAGATACAGGAGGATGTGGATTGGATATACTGATATAGGAGGGTGTGGATGGGGAATACTGATATAGGAAAGAGTGGATGGGTAATACAGATATAGGAGTGTGTGGATGGGGTATACAGATAAAGAAGGGTGTGGATTGGGTATACATATATAGGAGGGTATAGATGGGGTATACAGATATAGGAGGATGGGGATTGGGTATACAGATATAGAGAAAAAAGTAGTATTACATCTTCCCGGCTTTAGGTTGGCCTTTTGTGTACCCAAGGCAGGTGAAGGAAATCAACTTAGAAGCGCTGTGATTAGATGTAAGGGTACAATATATATTTTTATAAGTTTTACCCTTGTCCGTCTGTAAGTACGTACGTACGTACGTCCGTCCGTGCGTCCAAAAATTGGTTTCTGTTCTCTAACTTGAGTTTGCCTTAACCAAATGTTATGAAACTCATAAACAATGCTAATTACCACAAAACTGAGATCAAGTTTGAATTTTGGTGGCGTCACTTTAACCGTTCTAGAGTTATGCCCCTTTATAAATGGAAATGGAAAATTTTTAGTTTCCGTTCTCTAACTTAAGTTTGCTTCAACCAAATTTTATGAAACTTATAACAATGCTTATTACCAATAAATACAGATCAAGTTTGAATTTTGGTAGCATCACTCTAACCGTTCTAGAGTTATGCCCCTTTATATAAATGGAAAAATTACAAAAATTTTAGTTTCCGTTCTCTTACTTGAGTTTGCTTCAACCAAATGTTATGAAACTTATACACAATGCTTATTACCACAAAACACAGATCAAGTTTGAATTTTGGTGTCGTCACTTTAACCGTCCTAGAGTTATGCCACTTTATAAATGGAAAAATTGCAAAATTTTTAGTTTCCGTTCTCTAACTTAAGTTTGCCTCAACCAAATTTTATGAAACATATACACAATGCTTATTACCACAAAATAAAGATCAAGTTTGAATTTTGGTGGGGTCACTTTAACCATTCTCCAGTTATGCCCTTTATAAATGGAAAAAATGCAAAATTTTTAGTAAAACACAGATCAAGTTTGAATGTTGGTGGCGTCACTTTTACTGTTCTAGAGTTATACCCCTTTATAAATGGAAAAATTGCAAAATTTTTATTTTTTTCTAAATATCAATTAATTTTTGAAATTGGAGTTATATTCCTTTGTCCATGATTATAGTTGAATCAACTACAATCAATGCTTTATACAAAGCAATGTTTAATTTTTACTTCCACTGATAAAACACAGATCAAGTTGAATTTGGGTAGTGTCACTTTAACCATTATTGAGTTATGCCCCTTTGTAAATCGAAAGATTGCAAAATTTTTAGTTTCCATTCTGTAACTTAAGTTTGCCCCAACCAAACATTATGAAACCTATACACAATATTCATTACCACAAAACTAAGATCAAGTACAAATTTTTTGTTTCCGTTTTCGAACTTTAGTTTGCCTCAACCAAATGTTATGAAACTTATACACAATGCTTATTACTACATAATACAGATTAAGTACAAAATTTGGTGAGAACACTTTTACCATTCTTGAGTTATGTCCCTTTATAAACATAAAAATTGCTGAATTTTTAGTTTCCGTTCTCTAACTTTATTTTATTTATCTATGAATAACTGCAGTGTGTATATTTTCAATATAAATTTTGAAACCCATTTAAATATTTTTTCACCCCGTTTTCACCCGGATTCTTTAGCCTTCAGACTGATTTCCTTTGAAATACCGGCAAATTCGTAATTCTTCCTTTACAAGAAGTTCAACTAGCTGTGTACACTCAAATTAAGTGACCCATTTCAGTGCATGGCTTTATTTGACAGCTTTGGTGTCAAACACACTGTTAATTAACACCAATTACCTTAGCTTTAGGTCAAAAATAATTTGTGTATTTCAAAGTTGTTTCACAAAAAATTTAATTACTTCACCTTTTTGTCACCTTTCACAATATACTCCTTAAATTTATGTTTATTTTTGTAAAAAAGGTTAAATCTAAAACAAATTGAATGCAAATACATATAAGATTATTACTTATTATTTTTCTACCTTAGAACAATTAGAAAATAAATAGTTGAAAATTATTAGGGCCTCACCGAATGGCAGACGCCCTATAGTGATCAATCTGTCCGTCCATCTGTCCGTCCTTCCGTCTGTAACAAATTGTGTCTGCTCTATATCTAGAGAACTGGAATGATTTCAAAGTTTATACTTGACATGTATATAAACCAACACCAGAGGGTGTGTCATAATGTATGTACAACTTCCTAGGTCAAAGGTCAAGGTCAAAAACTTTGGTTTAAGTTGACAACCCCATGTCCTATGGTAAAGATCGTGTCCGCTCTATATCTTGAGAACTGTTATGATTTCAAAGTTTATACTTGACATGTATATAAACAAACACCATAGGGTGTGTCATAATTTATATACATCTTCCTAGGTCAAAGGTCAAGGTCATAAACTTTGGTTTCAGTTGACAACCACATGTCCAATGATAAAGATACAAATTTTTTACCTCATGTTATTCTCAGCGGGGCCCACAGAGATGGCTCCCATCTCAATGATATCTAGTTTTTTTCATCTCTACTTCCTTTAAATGTTTAACTTTTTTTTATTATACTCTAATATCAACTACCGTGCGAGGGCTGTATAGCCAGTCAAGGTCTTTAATAACCCCCATCATCATCTCTAGAAATAATGTATAAAACTCTACAGATAGACATGATAGATGCATACTGAGCTCCTTGTGACTTGTGAATTGAATATAATCAAGGAAATTGTTAAAGTGTTAAACATTGATCTATCATAGCCAGAAGTGCATTGATAATAATACTTTAAAATTATTTTCAGTTAATACTTTACCATTACTTTTCATGGTTTGGAAATTGCTTGTTTTAAAATATAAAAAAATGTCCCCTAAAATACTTAAATTCAGCTGGAAAAAAGTTCGTAAGCGTTATGACCTGAGATTTTATTAGGGTACAATATATATTTTTTTTTTTTTATCTATGAATAACTGCAGTGTGTATATTTACAATATAAATTTTGAAACCCATTGAAATATATTCTAGAGAATTGTTCGAAAAGACTTCCAAAATTTCATAAATTTGGCGTAAAAGGACGGTGGGCATGGATAACATAAACAAGCTCCGTTGGAAGTTGGTCATGATACATTTGACCTCAAGTTTTAAAACAGAATAATAAAGTACTAATACCACACATAACTGTTTTGTCCAGGTTTTTATTATAAAAAGTGGTAAATTTAGAAAATGTTAGTATTGTCGCCTATGGCAGAATAAATAGTACCGTTTTCCCTATAGGAGGGTGTGGATGGGGTATACAGATATAAGAGGGTGTGGATTGGGTATACAGATATAGGGGGGTTTGGATGGGTAATACAGATATAGGAGGATGTAGATGTGGTATACAGATATAGGAGGGTGTGGATGGGGTATACAGATATAGGAGGGTTTGGATGGGTAATACAGGTATAAGAGGGTGTTGATTGGGTATACAGATATAGGAGGGTTTGGATTGGTAAAACAGATATAGGAGGGTTCGGATGGGTAATACAAATATATAGGAGGGTTTAAATCGGGTATACAGATATAGGAGGGTTTGGATGGGGTATACAGATATAGGAAGGTTTAAATGGGGTATACAGATATAGGAGGGTGTGGATAGGTAATACAGATATAGGAGGGTTTGGATGGGGTATACAGATATAGGAGGGGTTGTATGGGTAGAATTAATGAATAGAAAAGGATTGGGTACAAAAATATAAAAAATAGAGAATAATATTGGGATGTTAAAAATATAAAGAACTGTGAATAATGTGCCCACAAAATTAGAAAAGATAGTTAAAAATGAAGACCCCCAAACTCATCCACACCTCATGTAGACATTAGGATGCATTTACCAATCTTCAGACTGCAAAGAAAATAACAGGACCAAATGTTGACAGATGGAACTTTTATTCTGATTCTTTAAAAAAAAGAGTTAAAAGCCTATTTAAAGTCTTCACAAAATTGTGAAAAATAATCGAAATGTCGTCTCATGAGTTATATATATATGGTTAGCATCTGTTAAGATAAAATTAATCACCACTCAGCTGCTACTGGTCTTACTAATTGTAAGATATTATGTGTTACAGAAGCCTTCTTTGTAACAGGTGAAAGCAATATAAAGATTTGTCTGTATTTCAGGGTCAGACGCCATACGATCTAGCAGCAGAATATAAATCTCTCCAGTATAAAGAAGTGATGGAATACTTACAGGTACATATAGTGATAGATATGGTGTTGAATTACAAACGCTTACACTTAGAATGAATCAAGTAGAAAATAAGTTACAAATTATAAAGAAATATAAAACTAAGAAATCAAATGCCGCAAAACCAAAATACTTCAGGAGAGAAATCTTACAAAATTGGTTTTAAACAAACAATTTAAAATTCTAATGCAATTATTTGTTATCACTATTTTGATTGGACAACATCATATATTTGGGGCGCTAAATCCACACTTAACAAGCTTTTAACTAAGCTTAGTTGTCATGTTTCAATTCAGGAATTTATTATTATGTGATTTCTTCAATATTCAACAAAATTAGCAGATGTTTTTTATTTCATATTCTAGAGCAAACAAGACGAGAGCAAGTTTTGTTAATTTTTATAAATAAATTGTTTTTGGTTTTTGATTTGGAGATGTACGGCGGCCGGCGGGGGGGGGTGGTGGCTGCCAAACAAAAATTTTTGTGGTCGTATATTGGTATGATGTTGGCGTCGTCGTCGTCGTCCGAAGACACATTAGTTTTCGCACTCTAACTTTAGTTTAAGTGAATGGATCTCAATGAAATTTTACCATAAGGTTCAATACCACAAAAGGAAGGTGGGGATTGATTTTGGGGGTAATGGTACCAACAGTTAAGGAATTAGGGGCCAAAAGGGGCCAAAAATAAGCATTTTTGTAACTTCCAGACATAACTTGTGTGTTAGTGTATGGATCTCTCTGACATTGTGCCACAAGGTTCCATATCACAAAGGGAATGCTGGGATTGATTTTGGGGGTAATTGCCTCAAAATTTTAGGAATAAGGGGCCAAAAAAGGGGCAAAAAACAAGCATTTTTATATGGACAAATACTTTAGTACAAAACATAATTTAAAGCAGTGTAAGGGAGATAAATCAAATTCATCATTAGAATTACCTCCCTTACACTGCTTTTAAATTATGTATAAAGTAATGGTTAATGAACAATTAAGACCAAAAAAAAGAAATTGTGGGGGGTCAAATTTTTCTTATTTCAGATTTCAGAAATTAAAAAGAATTATTCTTCAAATATTATTTTTTTTTCAAATTTCAAATATTGAAAAATTTCAAGAAGTAATCTTTAATTGCACAGTATGGCGCATTAGATTTGTAAAATTTGACCACATTTATTTATTTGTTATGCCAAATCTGACTGTGTATTTAGATTTTTAATTTTGGGGTCCAGTTTTCAAATTGGTCTACATTAAGGTCCAAAGGGTCCAAAATTAAACTTAGTTTGATTTTAACAAAAATTGAATTCTTGGGGTTCTTTGATATGCTGAATCTAAACATGTATTTAGATATTTGATTTCGGGCCCAGTTTTCAAGTTGGTCCAAATTGGGGTCCAAAATTAAACTTTGTTTGATTTCAACATAAATTGAATATATTTTATTTATTTGTTATGCCAAATCTGACTGTGTATTTAGATTTTTAATTTTGGGGTCCAGTTTTCAAATTGGTCTACATTAAGGTCCAAAGGGTCCAAAATTAAACTTAGTTTGATTTTAACAAAAATTGAATTCTTGGGGTTCTTTGATATGCTGAATCTAAACATGTATTTAGATTTTTGATTTCGGGCCCAGTTTTCAAGTTGGTCCAAATTGGGGTCCAAAATTAAACTTTGTTTGATTTCAACATAAATTGAATATATGGGGTCCTTTGATATGCCGAATCTAACCATGTATTTAGATTTTTCATTTTGGGTCCAGTTTTCAAATTGGTCTACATTAAGGTCCAAAGGGTCCAAAATTAAACTTAGTTTGATTTTAACAATAATTGAATATATGGGGTTCTTTGATATGCTGATTCTAAACATGTATTTAGATTTTTGATTTCGGGCCCATTTTTCAAGTTGATCCAAATAGGGGTCCAAAATTAAACTTTTGTTTGATTTCGACAATAATTGAATATATGGGGTTCTTTGATATGCTGAATCTAACCATGTATTTAGATTTTTTATTTGTGGGCCCGGCTATCAAATTGGTTCATATTGAGGTCAAAAGGGTCCAAAATTAAACTTTGTTTTATTTCATCAAAAATTGAATTATTGGGGTTTTTTGATATGCAAAATCTAACCGCGTATTTAGATTTTTAATTTAGGGTCCAGTTTTCAAATTGGTCTACATTAAGGTTCAAAGGGTCCAAAATTAAACTTAGTTTAATTTTAACAAAAATTGAATTCTTGGGGTTCTTTGATATGCTGAATCTAAACATGTATTTAGATTTTTGATTTCGGTCCCAGTTTTCAAGTTGGTCCAAATTGGGGTCCAAAATTAAACTTTGTTTGATTTCAACATAAATTGAATATATTTGTTTATTTGTTATGCCAAATCTGACTGTGTATTTAGATTTTTAATTTTGGGGTCCAGTTTTCAAATTGGTCTACATTAAGGTCCAAAGGGTCCAAAATTAAACTGAGTTTGATTTTAACAAAAATTGAATTCTTGGGGTTCTTTGATATGCTGAATCTAAACATGTATTTAGATTTTTGATTTCGGGCCCAGTTTTCAAGTTGGTCCAAATTGGGGTCCAAAATTAAACTTTGTTTGATTTCAACACAAATTGAATATATGGGGTCCTTTGATATGCCGAATCTAACCATGTATTTAGATTTTTCATTTTGGGTCCAGTTTTCAAATTGGTCTACATTAAGGTCCAAAGGGTCCAAAATTAAACTTAGTTTGATTTTAACAATAATTGAATATATGGGGTTCTTTGATATGCTGATTCTAAACATGTATTTAGATTTTTGATTTCGGGCCCATTTTTCAAGTTGATCCAAATAGGGGTCCAAAATTAAACTTTTGTTTGATTTCAACAAAAATTGAATATATTGGGTTCTTTGATATGCTGAATCTAACCATGTATTTAGATTTTTTATTTGTGGGCCCGGCTATCAAATTGGTTCATATTGAGGTCAAAAGGGTCCAAAATTAAACTTTGTTTTATTTCATCAAAAATTGAATTATTGGGGTTCTTTGATATGCCAAATCTAACCGCGTATTTAGATTTTTAATTTAGGGTCCAGTTTTCAAATTGGTCTACATTAAGGTTCAAAGGGTCCAAAATTAAACTTAGTTTAATTTTAACAAAAATTGAATTCTTGGGGTTCTTTGATATGCTAAATCTAAACATGTATTTAGATTTTTGATTTCGGTCCCAGTTTTCAAGTTGGTCCAAATTGGGGTCCAAAATTAAACTTAGTTTGATTTCAACAAAAATTGAATATATGGGGTTCTTTGATATGCTGAATCTAACCATGTATTTTGATTTTTTTATTTGTGGGCCCTGCTATCAAATTGGTTCATATTGAGGTCAAAAGGGTCCAAAATTAAACTTTGTTTTATTTCATCAAAAATTGAATTATTGGGGTTCTTTGATATGCCAAATCTAACCGTGTATTTAGATTTTTAATTTTGGGTCCAGTTTTTTAAATTGGTCTACATTAAGGTCCAAAGGGTCCAAAATTAAACTTAGTTTGATTTTAACAAAAATTGAATTCTTGGGATTCTTTGATATGCTGAGTCTAAACATGTGTTTAGATTTTTTATTTCGGGCCCAGTTTTCAAGTTGGTCCAAATTGGGGTCCAAAATTAAACTTTGTTTGATTTCAACAAAAATTGAATATATGGGGTTCTTTGATATGCTGAATCTAACCATGTATTTAGATTTTTGGGCCCCGTTATCAAATTGGTCCACATTGAGGTCAAAAGGGTCCAAAATTAAACTTTGTTTTATTTCATCAAAAATTGAATTATTGGGGTTCTTTGATATGTCAAATCTAACTGTGTATATAGATTTTTAATTTTGGGTCCAGTTTTTTAAATTGGTCTACATTAAGGTCCAAAGGGTCAAAAATTTAACTTAGTTTGATTTTAACAAAAATTGAATTCTTGGGGTTCTTTGATATGCTGAATCTAAACATGTGTTTAGATTTTTGATTATGGGCCCAGTTTTCAAGTTGGTCCAAATTGGGGTCCAAAATTAAACTTTGTTTGATTTCAACAAAAATTGAATATATGGGGTTCTTTGATATGCTGAATCTAACCATGTATTTTGATTTTTGGGCCCCGTTATCAAATTGGTCCACATTGAGGTCAAAAGGGTCCAAATTAAACTTTGTTTGATTTCATCAAAAATGGAATTCTTTGGATTCTTTGATATGCTGAATCTTACCATGTATTTAGATTTTGGATATTGGACCATAATAGGTAAATTAAAAAAATTAAAGTTCTTAGACCACATTCATTCTGTTTCAGAAACCTATGCTGTGTCAAATATTTAATCACAATCCAAATTCAGAGCTGTATCAAGCTTGAATGTTGTGTCCATACTTGCCCCAACTGTTCAGGGTTCGACCTCTGCGGTCGTATCAAGCTGCGCCCAGCGGAGCATTTTATTACTATATGAATTTGAGTTATTTCCTTTTGAACAGAAATGGTATAATTAATAATTAATTTCTATGTCATTTGGTCTCTTGTTTATTTTGAGTTATTTCCCTTTGAACAGGAATGATTTAATTAATAATTATCTCATCAAAAATTGAATTCTTGGGGTTCTTTAATATGCTGATTCTAACAATGTACTTAGATTTGGGATATTGGACCATAATAGGTAAATGTCCAATTTCAAATTTTTCATTTCTTTGACCACATTCATTTTGTGTCATAAACCTATGCTGTGTCAAATACTCATTTTTTTTATTTTGTATAGAATGCATAGAAATGGAAATAACTGTATTGTATAACTATTTTTAGCTTGGCCTACAATTAATTTGTCCTACTTTAGCAAATATCCTTTTACGTAGCTAACTACTATATCACTAGCCTTTTTACACTCAGGTTATGAGTTTGAGTCCCTCACATGTCAGGTCCTTTGACTTCTTAAATTCACGCAAGTAATCGGTTTTCCACACTATTTGTTGTTATGCTTACAGATGTTGATTTGATAATTGGTATACAGTTTTAG